CCCCCGCCAGTTTGTCGTCAGCGCGCTCTGCGTGATGTCGGTCTTCGTCGACGCCGCCAGCGGCATCGGCGCGCTGCGCGCCATCCGCGTGCTTCGTGTGCTGCGGCTGCTGACCGTGCTGCCCAACCTGCAGCGCTGCGTCCTGATCCTCTCCAAAGTCGTCGTCGAGGCGGCGCCGTTCATGCTGCTCGTCCTCTTCGTGTATTATGTCTTTGCACTCCTGGGCATGCAGCTGTTCGGCGCCTCCTGCGGCCCCGACGATCCCAAAGCGCCGACCTTTGGATTCGACACCCTCTACGGGGCGCTGCTTGCGGTCTTCACGCTATCCCTCAACGACATGGCGGACTTGTTTGCCACCATGTCGTGCTCCTCCGGCGGCGCGGCGGTATACTTCATCGTCGGTGCGATACGGGATTTCGGGCTGGGGTTGAGCTGGGGTTGAGGCGTGGGGTCAAACCTTTGGGTTGACGCTTGGGCTACGGTGTGGGGTTTGGGCTTGAGGCTGGGCGCCGTTTTGAGCTTGTCTCGACGCTTGGGCTCCGGCTTGGGGTTTTGAGCTGGGGGTCGGGCTTAAGGTTGGGCTGAACAGCCGTTTTGGCACCGCTGTGCTTTGCAGGCCCGGGGCTGCCGGCTGGCCGGCTGGCGGGCCGGCTGGCTTGGTCACATGCAGCGCTGGCTGGCTCGCTGGCTCCTCAAATACAGTTGCATGCGACCTGCTTTCTCTACGCGCACAGGGGAGTTTGGTGTGCTATTTGCAGCTGCGGTCGTGTTGTCGCGGCGATTTTGACCAACGCCCTCTGCCAGGGCTGGGCCCCTGAATCAACATTGCTCCCATCCCCTGGTGTCCTCCCTCCCTCCCCTCCCCCTCCACCCACTCTCCACCCACCCAGCCCCCTGGCTCTCATACTCCCATCGTCTCGCTCCGCAGCCGCGGTGTGCGGCAACCTCGTTCTGCTCAACCTCTTGGTCGGCCTCATGTACAGCGTGTACGCAGAGGAGCACGAGCGCCTCGCGGCGCTGCCCGCCAAGCGCAACGCATTCCTGGCCCGCCTGGCCTCGTTCACTGAGGTGCTCCGCCTGGAGCGGTGGGCCAGCGGGGCGCAGCAGCAGCAGCCGGGGGATGGCGCCTCACCGCCCAGCCCGCCGGGCTCCGATCCGGCTGGGCCCGCCGCGCCTGCGCCGCTGGGCGCGCAGGCCGTGCCGCCCGCGCCGGACGCGCCGGGCGTGCCGCGGGCGCCGCCTGCTGACATCGAGGTTGTTGTCGCCGGCAGCAGCGGCGTTAGCGGCGGCAGCGGCAACAACGACGGCAGCGGCGGCGGGGGCAGTGATTCGCGCTCTAAGCTTGGCGAGGCGTGCAGATACGCCCGGCTGGGCTGTGACAGGGCGAAGGCTTTCGTGCTGCGCCTGCTGTTCGACCACCAGGGCTGGAAGGGCGCCGTTGGCGCGCCTCTGCGGGACTTCAACAGTGAGTGTGTTATGCGTATGTCATGCGTATGTCAGCCGTACATCATCCGTATGTCATGAGTGTGTCATGCGGGGCTGCCGATGGAGGCTGCACATGCCATGCACGTCTATCAGGGCGATGGGTGTCGTTTGGCATAAATCACAGCTCTGCCTGGCTGGTGTGGATGAGATGGCGAGGTGCACACCTCCACACACTCACAACGCATACAGGTGCCAGCACACCTCTGAGCGCAATGCACATTTACGCAGCCACAACTCGTGCGCCTGCACACACAAACGTGCACGCCCACCCCTGATCAGGCAACCATGCACCCTGCCACCCCCACCCCCCCACCTCAGACAAGTCATTCTGGCTGCTCTCCCCCGACAGCCGGCTGCGGCAGCTTCTGTTTATCATCGTCGACGACCACCGCTTCGAGGCCTTTATATTGACCATCATCCTGGCCAACTGTGGCACCATGGCCGTGGGGAACCCGGGCAACCCGCCGCGCCTGGCGGAGGTGCTGCGCAGCCTGGAGACCGCGTTTCTGGCCGTCTACACCGCAGAGATGGTCGCAAAAATGGCGGCCCTCGGCGCCGTCGCCGGGCCGCGCGCCTACTTCCGCAACCCCTGGTGCTGCCTCGACTTTGTCATCGTCGCCGCCTCCATCATCGGGGAGGTCGTCGCGTCGCTGGGCTGGGTCAGCGTGCTGCGGGTGCTGCGCGTGCTGCGCGCGCTGAGACTGCTGAACCGCGTGCCGGAGATCAAGGCCGTGTTCACGTGCCTGGGGTCTTCCGTGCTGAAGACGGGCAACATGATGGTGGTGGTGTTCGTCATTATGGTCATCTTCGCCATCGTGGGCATGGAGGTGGGTTGTGTTTGTGTGTGTGTGTTTGTGTGTTTGTGTGTGTGTGTGTGTGTGTGTGTGTGTGTGTGTGTGCATGCGCGTGCGCGCCTGCCTTGGCCGCAGGCCAATGCATGGAGCCGCAGCCACCACACGCGCGCGCAAAGCGCACCCCAGGAGTAAGCAACACACACACACACACACACGCACATGCACACACACATCCACACGCATGTGCGCGTGCATACACAACTCATCAACCCAGCTGACCATCCCTCACCACCACAGCTATTCATGGGGAAGCTGGACGGCTGCGTCAGCACAGTCAGCGGCGACTTCGTCAAAACCTGCTGCGCCGATCCCAAAAACCCAGCCACCTGCACCGCTGTCGTCGAGCGCTCCCAATGCGCCGGCTTCGCCCCGCCGGCGGCCGGCGCGCGGGGTGACCCAGAGGCCTGTTACTGGGCGGTGCGGCCGTTCAACTTCAACAACATTTGGCAGTCGCTCGTCACGCTCTCGGTCCTCATCACGGGCAGCGCCTTCCCGGACGCCGCGTCGCTCGGCATGAGCGCGGTCGGGGTGGGCCTGCAGCCGTCCCCGCAAGCGGCGCCGTGGGCGGGGCTTTACTACGTTGCGTTCGTCGCGGTGGGCTTCATCTTCCTGCTGAACTTCGTGATATGCATCATCTTCGACAACTATGCACGCGAGGCGCGGGAGAGGGGCCCCGGCCTGATGCTCACCAACAAGCAGCGCGTGTGGGTGGACGCGCAGCGGCTGCTGCTGCGCACGGCGCGCGCCTCGAAGGCTCAGGTGCTCGTAGACCTCCCGCCGCTGCGGCGGCGGCTGGCGGCGGTGACGGGCCACGCGCTGTTCGGGACGGGCGTGATGGCGTGTGTCCTTCTCAACACGCTCGCGATGATGCTGCAGCACTACGGCCAGTCGCGCGAGTGGGACGAGGTGAGCCCTGCCTGGGAGGGGGAGGGCTCCTTGTTTTTGCGTTGTGGGCCGCAGCATGGTCAGGCTGCGGGGAGGCTGGATCAGCAGCATCGCCACGGGGCTTGGCTGTCGCAGCGGCGTGGTTGAGGCCGTTTTGGGCCGCTCATCATGTGGCTGCGGCCGCCCTCGCTTTCCCAGCGCTCGCCTCCCTTACTAGTCACTCGCAACCCCCTGCCCCAACCCACCGTCGGGCCCAAGCCTATCTTCTCGACCCCCACCTCCTCAACTTCCCCCCACCCGCAGGCGCTGCAGACGGCGAGCACCGCCTTCACGGTCCTCTTCTGCTGTGAGAGCCTGCTCAAGCTGGGCGCCCAGGGGCTGCGCGGCTACTTCAGCAGCGGCTGGAACGTCCTCGACTTCTTGGTCTCTTGGGGCTCGGTCCCCAGCATCTTCATCACCGCCGGCCCGGCCGCCAACGTGCTGCGCACGCTGCGCATCGCGCGCGTCCTGACGCTGATGCGCCGCGTGGCCAGCGTGCGGCGGCTGATGATGACGGTGTACCTCTCGCTGCCCACGATCGGCAACATGCTGCTGCTCGTGCTGCTGGCGCTCTTCACGTTTGCCGTGCTGGGGGTCAACCTCTTCCACGGCATCACGCACGCGGGGTTCGACTCGTTCCTCAACTGGAATAACGTGGGCTCTGCCATGATGATGCTGTCGCTGGTGGCCACCGGCGACTGGGACGGGTGAGGGCGGAGGGCGCGGCGCGAAGCGGGCTGCGAGCGGCTGGGCGGGCTCTAAGGGGTCGTGGCGCGGGCTGATGCAGGCGTCCCACACAATGCAAGGACACAGCCCAAAGCCGGAGGCGCGCCGGACAGGCCGCGCACGCACCCACACACTTGAATACATTTGCGGATGCCTGCGACACCCTGGCCGAAACCCTGGCCATCCCCTGCGCTTTGTCACGATGTGTCACCGCTTTTTCACCCGCACCCCCGCAGCTTCATGCGCAGCACCGCGGTGGCGCCGCCCTTCTGCGACCCCTCAGTGCCTCACGCCTGTGGCAACCCTGTCCTTGCAGAGGTACGCACGTTTATGGAGGGGGGGATCAGAGCATGGGCCTGCGCTCGGTGCCTGTTGGAGTGTGTGTGTGTGTGTTTGTGTGTGTGTGTGTGTGTGTGAGTCGGGGAGAGCGCAGCTTGGCGTGCGGCAAGGGAGGGAGGGACAAAGGCACGCATGTGCTGCTGTTGCATGGCAGAGCGTGGGCAGGGCGGCACGACTTACTCTGAGCAATGCCTCAGCCCCTAGCTTCGAACACCCCCCCCCCAACACACACGCACGCACGTTCACACCCACACCCACACACACACACACACACACAAACACCGCTGGAGCGCAGGTCTACTTCATAGTCTTCACGCTGCTGCTCTTCGTCATCTTCCTCAACATCGTCATCGGCGTCGTCGTCGAGGCCATGGCCATGGCCCAGGACCCCCCGGAAGTTCCCACCGCGAACTTGAAGCAGTACCTGCGGGAGTGGGGGAGGCTGGATCCGCTGGGCAGGGGCTTCCTCGACAGCCAGCAGGTGGGGGGCACGCCTCGCGCACGCCAGGCCTGTTGCACCGGTCGCTTTTGGGGGAGGGCCGGGCCATGGGAACCAATAATGCCTGTGGCTCCGACGGCCCTCGTCCTCAACCCATCATTGTAAACCTGCATGGGTCAACAGAACCCCAGCAGCAAATCGCCCGACAGGCCCCTGCCGCGGCGCACGACAGCCCTCGCCCTGACTCCCCCCCCCCAACCATCAAACTCCCCTCTAACCCGCAGTTGGCGTCCTTGCTGACGAACGTCGACCCGCCGCTGGGCCTGCGGGGCACGCCCGTGGCCGCGGCGCCCGGCGAGTTCCTGTCGTCCCTGCCGGAGCTGGAGGTGGACGGCTGCGGCCTGGTGTACTACCATGACGTCCTGCAGGTGCGGGGAAAACCCGCCATTGGTAAAGCGCTGGATTGCAAATAACGAGTGAATAGCAGGGAGAGGATTGAATATGAGCAGAGGGAGCATGTGTTGGATCAACTTTATCATGTGGGGACAGGGACGTATTGTCAGGCCCGCTTTGGAATCTCGCGTGTTCCAGGCCGTCTGGGGGACGTGATGTCGTAGCAAACGCTGCAGGCGGGCCAGGGGTCCGCCCGATGACCGACAGAGACATCGCGGGCCCTCAGCCCTTCTGCATGGCTGGCACGGCCGCACATCAATCCCCACAACACGAGGCCGCGCCCGCGCTCTCCTCATTTGTGCCCCCGCAGGTGCTCACCGCGCGCGCCGCCGGCCTGTCGCTGCTGGATCTGTCTCCTGAGGTCCTGCAGGCGCTGAGGGAGCGCACCAACGCGATCAAGCGGCAATACTCGCGGCAGGGGCGCCGGCGGTGACCCCCTGCCGCGGGCCTCGCCCGGCCGGAAGCAAGGCCTGGGGCCCCCGCAGCTGCTTCGGCACAGCCGCTGCGCTTTGAGCGTTCTCTCATTGATGGGAGCAGGCAGAAGGGATCCGCAATGGGCGCGCGCGTCGGCGACGATGGCTGGCATTCCAGCGTTATGGGTCGCGCAGCCGCGCCGCAGGCCCTCCTCAAGTCTTGATGCTGGCAGGCGCAGTCGCTTGGACTCGAAAGCAGTGGTTCAAAGCATGTTGCGTTTTTTGTCGGGGATCCGTCACTTGGCGTGCGTACTTGGTTTGAAGTGCTGCAGGGGTTGTATCGGCGCGGCGCGATGTGGAGAGCCGCGCCGCGCCCTCATAAACCGTGTGCAGTGCATCGCGCCGCTGATGATGAACTATAATCTATCCCGCATAGATGCACAACCAAATTGCACCCGCATGCTGCGCGGCGTTGCTCGCTTGTGCTCATTAATCTCAACAGCTTCAACAACCTCAACCAGCCTCCATGGCAACTGCGGCGGAAGCACCGCCGCGCCGCCACGTCCCGCCCCTGCTGCGCACTACGGCGACGCAGAGCGCCTTGAACAGCGCCTGTCCCGCCGCCTGCGGAACAACGCTGGCGCGCGCCGCCGCGTTCGCGATAATCAGCGCGCGGCTGCTTTTTTGCAAAATGTGCGGCGTCTGACGCAAAGTGCACCTTTGCGCACACAATACAAGTGCGTCTGGACGGCAACGAGCCTGCTGCAGCGAGCGCGCGACCGTGGATTCGCCTGCAGGCTCCATCACTTGCGGCGTGCGGGCTCCCTCATGCTTTCAGTCAACAGCGCGGCCCGCTTGCATAGTGCCGCCGCTCCTGCTGTGCCGACCCTTGTTGTTCAGAGGCGAGCCGCCCATTGCTGCGTGCTGGCGCTTCCATCACCTCCCCAAAACTGTGCTCTAGAATGAACATGCGTGCACCCTCACTGATCGATGGTGGCTTATGATCACTGCACTGCTCCCTCATGGGTGTGATGTCATGGCAAGCATGGGTCTGCAGGATTCTGGGTTTATGGGTTTTCATCAGCACTGGTTTTGCAAGGCACCCTAAACCCTTATCTGCTCCTGCATAGCAAGCCGGCGCGGCGGTCACCCGCCACGTCACACAGCCTGGTCTGGGGCCCCCACAGCTTGCTTTACCTTTCCCCGCTCTTTTTACAAGGTGCAGCATTGTAACCCAACTTGCCACAGAGGGCACTGCAAACGCATGCAGTCATCTCACGGACGGGAGCCACGACCGACTGTACATGTCGGTTTTGTGAATAGGGGGCCGCATATCGACAACAGCTGAAGTCGCAACGCCGCCCGCTCGACCCCCGCCGGTCATACGGCGCGAGCGCCACCAGCGCCGCACATCACCGCCGCCGCCGCGCCGCGGCGGCGCCGGCGGCGTCGCCGCCCGCGACCCACTCGTAGTCTGCGCCCTCCCACGGCTGCTGGGCCTCCCTGAAGAGCTCTTGGAGCACGCCCGGCAGCCGCGCCTCCTCGTACCACTGGCCGCTGGCCAGGCGGGGGCCGATGGCCGGGTGCAGCGACCACCTGGCAGACGAAAGGGGGCGGGGAGGTGGCGGGAGGGGGGATTGACTCTTAGGAGGTCTGAGGCGCGGGGAGCCTGGATGACGCAAGGCTGGCGGTTCCTGGCCGCCTGGGGCGTGGGTACCTCAAAAGTCTGCCACAAGCACGTGGCGCATGAACAACCTGCCCTGCTGACGCTGCTCCTGACATGTGATGACCGGCACAATGCGGCCTTGATCGCTCCGCCACCACCCCGACCCCATTCCGTGCCCCAGAAAACAACCCCAGGTAACAACCCCCAGATCAAGATCAGCCCCAAATCACCCACTTGATCAGCACGTCCTGGCTGTACTGCTGCTCCTCAATGTCCGCCATGAATCGCAGGTTGTCGCCGTCCAGCGCCGCCAGCCACTCCACCCGCTGGCTGTCAACATATGGCCGCAGCACAGCGCCGCCGCTGGGGCCGGCAGCGGCGGCGGCCTCGGCGGCGGCGCCGCGGTCGCTGCGGCGGACGAACCAGTCGTCGCCGTCCAGGCCAGCCGCCTGGCCGGTGCGGGCACGTGGCTCAGTCAGAAAAAAATTGACGCCGGGGGGGTGCGACCAAGGAGTGCAGAGGACAAGAAAGGGGGGCAACGGGCGGGCTTGCAACCCAGCCAGCGGGCGGGGCCCGGCGCGACAGCTCGATTGGCGCGCAGGTGGCAACGGGACATTGTACAGGCCGGCCTGCTATCTGTGCGCACGTCGCACTGGGCTGCAGGCAGCCAGCTGAATCTGCTGACGTGCGAGCTCGTTCTCATTTGAGAGCGGCCGTCCCACAGCCAGCTGCTGGGCGGCTCGCATTCTCCTTGACAGCGCCAGCGCCGCCATGCAAGCCGAGAAACCACAAGCGCACCCCAACACGCCATCCCGCATCCCCCCCCCAAAAAAAACACATCCCTATCAGTGCCCCCACACCCCACCCACCTCAACAACCCTCGTCACGTTCAGCTGCTTGTGGTTGGCCCCGAACGCCCTGGCCCACCACTTGAGCGCCTCCAAATTCTCGGCAGCTGCCAGGAAGCTGCCCATGGCCTCCAGGCCCCCCTTGGTCACCTCCAGCCCGCCGGTGGTCGGGTCTGCCATCACTGTATCCATGTACAGCAGGGCGGAGCGCGTGGCGGTGTCGGTGATGTCGTCGATGCTCTCCAGGAGGGCGGCGAGCTGCTCGTTCAGGTACCTGCCGTTTGGAGGTTACGAAGGGGGGGGGCGGCGAGTTGGAGAGACGCCTTGGATTGATGTGGCAGGGAGGGGGTTCTGGCGTGGTGAGAGGATGGGGCCGTGAGCGCTTGGACGGGGCCGCGCGACATGACATGCGCCTTTTTGCAACGCGCTGCCTATCTCTCAAATCCTTGGTCACATGCGCAGACGAAGAAGCACACCCACACGCGCGCGCGCGCGCACACACACACACACACTCTCTCTCTCTCTCTCACACACACACACACACACAAACACACGTGCATACACTCCACCAGCCGCCCCCTCACTCGAAGGCTGCGACGTAGTCGTCGGGGCTCATGCCGTGCGCCTCCTGCAGCCTCTCATGGTCCATGCCCTCCAGCTCAGCCAGGCGCGCGTGGATGCTGTTGGGTTCAGGGTTCAAGTGGGTTCAGTTCAGTCGTGCATGCTGACGGTTTCGTTTCAGAGTTGAAATCGCGCGAGGATGCTGCCAAGGCGGCAGTCAAATACGACAGGCTGAGATGGCATCGTGGCACGAAAAGCGACAGGTTGGACAGCCCGTACCAACAGAGGAGGCCTAATCAGGGCCGCGGGCAGCCCCAAGGCCGCGGGCCTCAGGCGCGCCGCCCGCCCGCAGGCGTCGCGCTGTCCAGCGGCCAGGCCTGCCGGCGGATGCCGCGTGCAGCAAGGAAACCCCCGGGTCCAGGCAGGACCTGCAGGCCACCTCCAAACCCCTCCCATCCCGAGGCCTGCTAAGGATACACCAAACCAAGCAGGCTCACGTTTTGAGGACCTGGAAGTGGCGCGACGGCGGCGGCCCCCAGTCCTGCACGCCCGCCGCCATCGCGCGCGAGTGCCGCATGGCGCTGACGTGGCGTCGTGGGGGGTGGCGGC